AAATAAAATGTAGAAACTTTCCAACTCAGGTTCACTTCAGACATAAACCAATAGTAAAGAGTATCAGAGTGAGAAACACAATGTACCAGTGAAGTCTTAAAAATGTGTGCGGCATTTGAGTTAAAATATAATCCAGATTAAAATGTCCACCAAACTTAACATGTTGGATAAAATTTATATCCTATGAATTTATCCCTTTCTAAATATTAAGAAAATAAAGCCATCTATGATAGAATTTTGGTAAATGAATTAATAAACATAATTCTTAAAGATATCCTGAAAAAAACAAACCAAACTCACTGCTATTGAGTCTATTCCAACTCATAGCGACCCCCACTGGGTATCTGAGGTGGTAAATATTTACAGAAGTAGATTGCCTCATCTTCCTGCCATGGAGTGGCTGGTAGGTTTGAACTGCTGACCTTATGGTTAGCAGTCAGATGCCTTGGGACTGCACCACAGGAACCTCTTACAGCTATCCTAGGAATTAATACTGTACAGATAGAGAAAAAATACTAAATTGATTGTAATAAAAATAATCAAATTAGAAATATATGTAAACCTTGTGCTTTTGTACTTTAACTTGCCAAATATCTTTACCTTAGTAGGGCCTTCAAAATAGAGAAAATTTATGTAAGATCACAGGTAAGGGTGTATGTGGCCTTAAAAATGAAAGGATAAGCAGGCATATTTCACATAAAGTATGTGGTAGAAAAACAATTATTGAGAAGCCAAATAATATAAGGAATAGGGTAGCATGAATGCAGACAATCAAATCCCATATTTACAGCCATTTAAAGGAAGGCAATGAAGTTTTTCCATAACAACCTTAGCAGAAATATAGCATCTTCTATTATTAACATGATAAATGTGGTACTTTTGACATTTTTAAATTATCATTCATCAAACCCAGAATCTTTTTGAAGAAAGGCACTTGACTGCTAACCAGAAGACTGATGGTTCAAACCCACCAGCCATTCCTCGCAAGGAAGATGGGGCAATCTACTTTCGTAGTGACACTGCCTCGGAAACCCAAGGAGGGGTCGCTGTGAGTCGGGTCTGACTTGACGGCACATAACAACAACAACAACAACAACAACAACAATTTTCTTCCTTGTTAGATTAGTAGAAACTGATGAGACAACTTCCCATACTGTAGGACTGCTTGCCCAGTTTATCTCATACCAGGCATAAAAGGTCTTTTCTTTTTTATATACATTTAATCCTTATACTTGAGTGATGTGAGCCAGAAAACTATGCTGTGATTAAATGCAAATGTGGAACAGCATTGTATAAAATGAAGAAAATGAAATCAATTTCTAGTTAAACAGCAGAGTATGCATTTACTTCCACTGTCACCTGATACTCAAAATAACGGAAATGAAAGGAATGAGAAGAGTCCATAATAGATAAAATATGATAATATTTTGAAAGTTGCAAAGAAGATGGCTGATAGGTAATTGACTTAGAAGGCAAGGAAAGCTAAAACCTAAGTATCTGGAGAAGGAAGTCAATATGGAGCAATCCATTTCTCTAAAGGTTGAGAAACTGGTAGTACTAGATATCTCTGATGATGGTGGTATGGAACAGGACTAAAAAAGGCAAATCTCTTACCCTCCCCAAACTATATCATCTTCTGGGACAAGGCAGAAATAAAGCTAGAGAACTTCTTCAATAGTGAAATCATGTTCTAGTATAGCTCCCTCACCCCTGGACACTAGCAAAGTCATATAAGCCTCAAAATGGACA